AGTCCATTCGGACCACATGTCCCCCCAGGCTAACGAGACTCCTGGCTTGAATTCAGTTACACAAAGCAAGTCTTGGCTTTGCCGGGCCTGTCGCTGAGGCCCAGTCCCCCCACAGCCCGAGGACTCGGCCCTCACCCACTGCCTCTACTGGGGGAGCCACTCTCCGACTCCTTCAGGGGTCTGAGCTTCTGCGATCACCCAAACGCCTACTCAAAGCTTCTCCATTTGAGGGGGTGATGGGGACACCAGGGACAGGGTCTGCGCATGACTAACAGGGCACTAAAGCATCAGTGAGGAGGGGGAAGCAGAGGTGGCCAAGCCCTACAGCCCGGAAACCATTGCTCAAAGAGGCAGGCGCCCCCACGGTCCCCACCCACTCCGGTCCCCACCCACTCCGGTCCCCACCCACTCCGGTCCCCACCCGCTCTGCCCAGCATCCCGGGAGCCAGGAATCCTGAAGGCAGCCCCCGAGGCTGTGGGAGAGACACCGGTGATAACGGGACCCGAGGAGGCCCCACACTCAGGCCCCGCCACCCCCGCAGGGCCCGAGCAGCCTGTCACTGGGAGCTGGGGCTGTCGCCCTCCGTCAGTGTCTTGAAGTCCATGGAGAGGGCTTGTTCTTCGGCCTGGGGGGGCCGCTTCCATTCGGTGCGAGTCAAGATGTAGAGCATGACCAGAGCAAAGCCAGCCAGCAGCAGCCCCAGCACGTTGGCCAGGACACCCTCGGGCTCAAACGTGCTGTACTTGGTCCTGCAGGGTCAGGGTGGAAGGGAGAAGCCACCCCCGGGGTCACCATTAGGCCACATGCCATTCACGCCTGAGCCAGAAAGATGCCTCGGTCCAAGCCCAGCCTCTCCCTCCCCCACCCGGAGAGAAAGCCACTGGGTGGCTCACTCACAGAGCTGGCTCAGAAGGCAGAGGTCCAGGGGGTCAGGCCACTCACCCGAGTTTAAACAGCAGCGCCTCCTTCAGGCCCAGCAGGGCTGTGCCCACAGACAGGAGGAAGATGGAGGCGCCAAAGAAGATGTGCAGTGGGCGATAGCGGCTCCGCAGAGAAAACGAGGCTCCAGGGAACAGGAAGAAGCTGAAGCCCACCAGCCACTGGAAGGGACGGCGAGGAGGGGACCGCGCTGGCCATCGGCTCACCAACCGAGGACACCAAGCCGGATGGAACCCCTCACCCCCTCACCCATCCACTGGTTTCCTCCACCGTCAGAGCGGTGGGCGGGGAGCAGCGAGCACTCGGGGTAAGGTCCTGGCCTCAGGCCTGGTCTCCTTCGTCACTCCTGCACCCTCGGAGGGCTGGGCCTTGGCCAAACTCCGTGGGTGTCAGCTGGAAGGGCACCGGGATCCAAGGCCCCTCACCCCTAAAATCCTGGCTTATACCATCTCAGAATCTGAAAGCAGCATCCAGCTGTACTACTGGACTTCCACCTGTGGACACACGCCCTGGACAATGGGCCCGCTGAGGCACACGCACTATTTTAGCCCCTTCCTCCCCACTCCTCTGCCCGCCCCAGCCCTGGCTCGCCTGCCCCCTGCCTCCCTCACAGCTGTGGGGCGGGAAGGACTCACCTGCAAAACATAGAGAACAAAGGCAAGGATGCCGCACCAGCTGTGCAAGCTGTACAGGTCAGCATAGCCCTTTTTCCGGTGGTAGTCGAACACTGCCACCAGGCCTGGACGGAGACAGGGGTCACGTGAGGATGGGCCAACGGGGGAAGGGAGAGGGCCAGGTGACCCAGGAGAAACCTGACTAGCCGGGACTTCCGGGACTTCTGGGCTCCCGTCCCAGCACCCAATATCCCGCCCCGCCTGGGACGCCTGGAAGGCAGGGAGGCAGGGCTGTGCCCGGGAACTCACCCACCAGGGCGATGATGAAGGCAAAGCCGTGCAGCAGCCCGTGCAGGATTTTGGTTGTGCGTTTGGCCTCATTCCTGAAGACGCGGTAAACCAGCAGGGCTATGGGAGTGAGAAAGGGAGTCAGCACCCTCACGAGCACCAGGCCTTCCTGCCAGAGCAGCAAGGAGACACCCCATGGCTGAGAGCTGATCTGAGTCAAGGCCTTGTCCAGGTATCCTGGCCGCAGGAAATGGAGGAGAAAACTGGCTCCATGGGGCCCAGCTGGTCCGACACCTTCTTGCCGGGCGTCCTGTGTATTCCAGGTTGAGTGTTAGGTTCATCATGCAGTCACATGGAGATGCCCCGAGCTTCTGAGCTCCCCTTACGGCTGTGAGGGTCCTCAAACAGATCAGATATCCACTGCTTTCAGCAAGCAGGGCTGGGACCTCGCTCCTACCCAGAGAGAGCACTGTCCGGCATTCCTCACCCCGCCCCCCACACACTCACTATTCCCCCAACTTCAAACGGGGCCTCAGAAGGCAGCTCAGCGCCCAGCCCGGCCCCTGGGCTCCTCCCTGTGAAGCACACACACCATTGGGGGCTCCTTATTGAAGCCGGAGGTGAAAGAGCTGGGACACGTTGGAAAGGAGGAGCCACCACCAATGGCAGGGCTCCTGTCTGGACTCCCAGGGTCTCCAGGCCCCTTCTCTACCTGTCTTTTCTAGAATCTTCCATCTAACAGCGAGAGACCTCAGGGGTGATGGGGTCGCAAAGCACCTCTGTGGGAGCGGCTCCGGGGAGCCCGCAGGACTCACCGTCTCCCTGCAGGAAGATCAGGCCTATGACCATGCAGAGTGGGTGCACGTTAAACTGCAGGGCGCTCTCCCAGGCGATGCCTCCCCGGTACAGACCCAGCCAGGCGCCGGTCACCGCCACCACAGTGAGGCCCAGCAGCTGGGAGAAAGCCACACAGTAGGACAGCCCTCCAGGGCGGGGGCTGGCACGGCTCTCCATGCTGAGGCGGCAGCTGCAGGAGAAAGACAGCAGAGCTCAGGGGACCGCCACAACCTCCAAATGACACGGCCCAGGACCCCCAAGGCGGCCCCCTGCCGCCCCCCTCTCTGCCGCCCCACACCCCACACTCTGTGCTAATGTGCTCACCAGCCTCTCCCAGCCCCCTCCACACCCACCCCCCACTTTCTGAGAGCAGCTCGGTGGGAGTGCCGGCTGTGCTAACAGGAGGGAGCTGTTAATAACACACACTGCCTACAGTAAAATACACATAAGCAAAAAGAAAACCCACAAAAACTCAGCATTTTGATTTACAACCTTTTCTTCTAGAAATGTATATACATTCTTTTATAGAAACAGGATCACACCAACTTCTAACCTGCTTTTCTTTCTTTAATCCTCACCTAAGTACATGCTTTTATTGTTTTGAGAGAGGAAAAGAGGGAAGGGAGGGAGGGAGGGGGAGAGAGAGAGACAGAGAGAGAGACAGAGAGAGAGAGAGAGAGAGAGAGAGAGAGAGGTATCGAAGTGAGAGAGAAACATCGATAGGCTGCCTCCCACACACGGCCACCGGAAAGGAGATTGAAGCCAAAACCTGGGATGTACCCTGACCGGCAACCAAACCCACCACCTGTTGGTATAAAGGACACGACGCTCCAACTGACTGCGCCCCGTCCGCCC